TTTATTCAAAGGTTCGAGACGGTGATATTGTGTTTTTTTCAAGAAACAAAATTCGGATCGAGACAACGATAATGATCGTCGCTTTGCATCAAACCAATAGTGCACATGGGCTCCAGTATCCTGCGGGAACAAATGGCGTATGAACCAATTGTTGGTCATCGGCTTCCATGGGACCGCATCTCTTTACGATGCTCCACTGCCCTGTGGATCAGACCTTCAGGTCAAAGGCTCGGGGTGTGGCCCCCTAAGAAAACCACCTGCTTCGGTCTGGGCAACCGGGCAGTATCACAGCCCTCACACACATCGAATGAGATTTGTGTGGCGCATATGCATTTGGTGCCTCTTTGTACCAATATCTATGTGTTGAAATAAATAAATAATAAATGCATCAAGGAATAGACAGTTTTGCATTGGATAATAATAATAAATTATTCAGTCTTAAGAACATAGAAGTGCAACTTATTTATTTATGTTCATAGTTATTCGTTTACAACGCAATAAATTATTGATAAACTATAGTTGCCTTGATGAGTAGATAAACAGTTGGATCAATCGATAGAAAGAAAAAAAGACGTCACATTGAATCTGTCGTTAGTTTTAAAATAATAAAATGGTTAGAAACATTAGTAGATGGTGGTGAATTTGAAAAATTCAGAATCGTAGAGGTAGAGATGATGCATTTAATTATGTCATTCACTACTATAATTTATATTAATGAACAATATGCTACTGAACTGACTGAAATAACAAACTACACTTGATTAGAACAAATCAAATGCTTTAATATAATCAATTTGAAATAAATATAACTACAATGAAACTCTTGGAAAACAAACTGTACAAACTTATAGTAGGATATTGGTGGAAATTCAAATGATAAAATTCATAAATCACCGACCGAAACCTGGATTAAATTGTTTAACGACTGATTAAGGAGAAGTACATTCGATGGTGAAATGAATATAATTAGTTCAATTTATATAAATGAATAAACTATGAAATTATTCAAATTAGCTATTATTATGATTTTTTTTATATTATTCAAATTGAATAGCTGATGAGTCCCATGCTAGGACGAAACGGCTTCCACCTTTTTAATGATGGTCTAGCTTAGGTCGACTCGTGAATTCAACTTTGAAAATACTATGATCTCCATAAATTCCCATATTCAACTTAATACTCATTACCATTTGCACATTTTGGGAGTCTTTTTTACTGTAAATCAATACATCGTTTGAAGAAATAATCAGAATTCATTAGCTAGTTAGGAATTATTCCACAGCGTAAGTTCATTATACAACTGTAAACCTAATTCAAAATCATAGCTGAAGCACTATGATAACCACTGGATATCATTTACTACAGACATTATAGATTCCAATATAAACTTTGAGCAATATATTTTTAAGCTAAATACTAATCAGCATGTGACTATTAAATTTTCATTAAATTAGTCATTAGGTAGTCATACTTATTACCAATGATCGTTCAGTTCACTATGGTTTCCAGTGATGTCAATGTTTTTGATTCAAAAAAGGTAAAAATAACTCATAAATAATAAATAGAATTAAAATTAGTGTATCACAATCATCGCACATAGAAAGAAACATACATGCTTTAATGCTTCAAAAAAACGACAGTATAATACTGAGATCATAAACTGATCAATGCCAGACCATAATTGAAAATCTGGAAGCACTGAACGGCCGTTTCGTCATAGCATGGGACTCCTCAAAAGCACACACCAATGATCTCGCATACGGGATTCGACCCCAGGAACTTCGGTCTCCCAAACCGACGATTACCCTGCAGACCACTGAAGCGGCATCCAACGGTGTTAACGTTTAACTTCAATCAATCCACAATATTGCGCGACCATCTTTATTTATTTCTTTAAACACAAACACTGGTACAAAGAGGCACCAAATACATATGCACGACATGAATCATTCGATTCGTGTGACGGCTAGGATATTGCTCGGGTGCCCGAACTGAAGCAGGTGGTTTTCTTAAGGGACCACACCCGAAGCCTTCGACCTAAAGGTCTGATCCACAAGGCAGTGGAGCAACGTCAGGATATGTAGTCCCATGGAAGCTGGCGACGACAAGTTCATGCGCCATTTGTTCCTTCAGGATACTGGAGCCCATATGGACAACTGGTTTGGAATCAGGTACTTCTAGCTCCGCTAGGTAGACTCTTCGTGTCCACGAGCCCGGTTAAAGCGCCAGATATTCGCTTTTCGTCCTCTCAATTTCGTAAACAACAGTAATGCCGCAAGAAGGTAATGAGTAGGACTTCCCTGGTAGTGGTTGTATACGCGTGGTCATGTGAGAGAGAGAGAGAGTGGAGTCTCTCCACTCTCGGCCGTACCAGGGCATGTGAGGGCTTGGCGGCCTCGCAGCTACCATCTTCCACTGTACTGAGGTAGACACCCGTCTCTACCCGACAAAGATGAGCTCCAATGGTTATGGCCTCCGAGAATTACCTCTCGAAGTTAGTCACTAATGCTTCCAGTTTTTCAATGGTGGTCTAACATCAATTAATTCAAGTGAAAACTCAACAGTTTTTACAACCCTTTACTGACAGCATAATGTGTTAAGTGGAAACAAGATTGAAAGATTCAAACAATAAAAATTAAGTATACAAAGTAGAAAACATAAAATATAAAACCTGTAACATTTAAATATGAAATGACTAGAACGAAAATATTCAACTTTATTACACTTTACAAGAACAATGACTATTAGGCACACAAGACTGTATCATACTATAATCCCTTAGTCTCACTTTAAAACGTACAACAATGAAAGTTTTAATGGATGAAAATGTTTAAAAATGTAGTAAATTTTTCGTCACATTTGTGTAAAACGTTTTTTTTACTAATTGAATTCACACGTTGTTGTTGCCTTACAGATAGATGATAGATAACAAAACAAAAATTGAAATTTTGTATTGATATTTGACAGTTGCTATGTGGTCAAAATTTACAACCATATTTGATTATACATCATAACACACTTGTGATTGTTAAGATTTATTTGAGACTACCATATAATACGGTGTATTTTTTCTTTCTTTACAAGAATCATGAAAAATATTATTTATAACCGTTTTTAATGGTCGGTAATGCTTTAGTCTGAAAGAATTCCAACAGAATACTAGGTAAATACAAGGAATATTTAAAATTCAAGCAAGAATTCAAAATTATTTCACGCTAGAAAAACCTTCCCTTTCTTAATGATCGATTCACAAGACCATGAATAATTTGTTGTTTAAGTCTTTTTATGATTAGGTATTTTGAGTTAGTGAAGAATAAGAAATTCTATAAGACTATATTATTGGTCTTTACGTGTATCGAATTATCCAGTTGTATTATACTGCTACGATGGTGTCGAATTGTTTAGTTTTCTTTCTTTCTTTCTACTAAATCATAGTTATAACGAATAAAACAATTCCTCTATGACTTCTCTGCAATTCCTATTCCTGTTACTACTATGTGATCGGTTACTATCTCTTCTAGTTTGCTACTTTGTTATATGGTGTATAGTAACTTATTCTGAGCATTTGATTTTATTATTACTGTAACCATGTATCACTTACAAAAGTCAATGAAGCATATAAGAGCACAAGATTATGGCTTTTAACAATGACCTCATTCATAACTATTTGTAAATGATACATAATAAAACAAATGAAAATCGTGTTACGAATATGTGATGAATATGGGATCTTCTGTCTAATGTGTAAATCAATATTAAAACAAAATCCCAAGTTCTTCGAAAATAACTTAAAGTAAACAAATAGTGTTAGCTATTACGGAGAATGATTAGGTGTTGGTATATGTTAGGGAGGTATACAAATATATGTTAGTCTTTAGAACTCAGCCACTACAAGTTGGCAAGATCAATTATTTTTTTCAAATATAACTTTTATTAACAATGATTGAATAATGGTCAATTTATATATCGAACCGACTAAAGTTGGGGAATCTCGACTACCAAATTTCAACTCAGTGGCTGAAAAATATCATGCTTACTATGAAAGCTAACTAGTCGCAGGTCAAACTTCATATAGGGTCCGTGAGTGTATAACATTAAAAAGTTTCAGACTAAGATCAAACGAATATTTGGTATCCTATAATTTTTATATACTTCACCAGATGATCCTAGTTCTTGATGAAAACTACCCCTTATATAACTACAGTCAAACATTATTTAGAAACTTGCTATCGCATAATTAGACCATTTACAGTAATTTTGTAACACTATTGACGAGACCGACTTAAATCTGTTAGGAAGAAGTTAAAAAAATTGTGGAAATCAGACAACTATTGAACGGAGTGAAACTAGTTTGCAAATTTTCTATTCAAGTTATTCTATATCATCGTAATTGTAAGATCACCTTTGGCTGATTAACTGTTACAAAATATTTTAACGTACAGTTATTCGATAATTTTGTTGTTTGATTATATTTTCCTTGAAAAAGCTTGGACCAGATAGCCAGGAGAAACGTTGGATTTACTTCAAATTCTTTCGCTGAGATTTTACAAATAAATTTTTCCTCTTTAATGTCAAACATTACCTCGGCGCCCCGAATATTGTGAAACTATTCGTTCACATTCAGACGAAAGTTCTTATGTACAGTTACTTTGCTATAAATCGATTTCAACTGTCCTAGTCTTCTGTACTTATAGAAACTTATTCTTTATGGAGAGCTGTTATCTTGCACTTTATGCATGTAATCATGTGAGATCCTGAATCTGATGATACGGAATAATACTAAGTATGCAAGGTATCCAGCTGGATTTCCTAGCATTTTGATTGGTAGTTTCTGAACGGATAAATTTTAAGTGAGCGATCGATCGCTGGCATATACAATATCTCATAGTTAGTGAAAAGTATTATTGGAGTAGGTGAAAATAACAGTGTAATTATTGAGTGATTAATATACATTTTGTATTTCAAAAGAATAGATAAATCGTTTCTGTGAATAAACTTACATAAGCAGGAGATGATCCTGATACTCCAACAGCTGCATTAAATAAAGATTCCGGGATAGCTTCAAACACAGGAAAGATTGATGAACATAAGGAAGAAATCAAATTAATATCTTCTTCAGTGACAGAAGATGTATGTGCATACACTGCAGTACCAACACCGACCAGACACGGTGTATTAGGCATAATACGGATAATTCGAGTAGATTTCGGCACAACCTATATCAATATAACCAGATTCATAAGATGTAATATAATGGAAAGGTATTTTAGGAGTTGAAATCATTTATTTAAATATATATATATAACTTTGTCACTAACTGTAATATTTAGAACAATCATGATAAATGTTACTTGAATTAATATTTTACTGTACAAAACAATTTAGAATTCCAGATAATAAAATCTTTCATTCAACCACTGTTACATAACTACTAGACGCAGATATTAAAGTTGGTAATAAACACCGTTTATAAGTGCAAAACAAAACGCAAAAAAGAATGAAATAGAAATCAATGACAAAACATAATAAGAAAAACAAGTGCATTTTTCACACTATTTTTAGAGAAGTAAAATAAGGAAAACATTTTTTTTCGTTAGATTTCGCGATAAAAAAAACTGGGTTAAATAAAATTGGCTGTTAAGAGCTATGTGAAAAAATAATTAACTAACAATAAAAAATATAGCTTTAAATTAGAAGAGGGAATGCTAGGATAGTGTAGTTGTTGTCAGCAGTAAGTATCCGATAAACATGGATAAACAAGATTACTATTGTACTGATTATTCTATAACACTTATTTCTACCCTTCATCAATTAGTTGTGATCTGACGAGTAACTGATTCACATTATTTTAACTGATTATTTGAAATATGAATAAATACTTTAATTCTGTAATGTGTTTAGTTGGTTGACTAATGGTTCTGTTGTTTGTTTTTTTAAATCCACTCATTTTGAATTTCGGGGTCGATTGAGTTTATAAATGACTAGTTAGGAAAACGCATCTGCAATGGTTTTATTAAATTGATTGTACCATCATAAATACGACAAATAAGTTTATCACATTCAAAGGTATAAAATCAAGTTGAAGAAAGTCACTATACGGATAAAGGGAATTACAGTTTTTGACGACAGCATCGTTGCAAATTATTCAGTTTTATGCTGACACATTTGGTATCTTTAATGGTATCTTTTGACAAGCCTGAATAATTATTCAGAAATTATGCTACCTCGAGATAGGTATATATATATACAAAGATAAAGACCAAGAACTTTCGATGTAAATATGATGCGCTACAAGCAAGACGATATCTTAAGACTTTTCTGAATTAAAAGACATGTTACAATCTTAACATTCAACAATCTGATGAAAATTTGAACAAGTATTAGTTGAGATATAACGACGAAGGATACCTAGCCATTACTTGTGTTCGACATGTAAGAATATGAGTAGTTCTGAAGTAAAAAAAATAAAAGAGCTAAAGTAAGTGAAAGATTTATAATCACATTAGCCACTTAGTTTATTAAACTTAGCCATTCCGAATGTTATTAGACAATCTCCCTTCTTCATGAATAACTAAAAAAGATTTACAGCTGTAAGTCAAGGGTTTCTTCAAAAGACCTAAGTTTGTACCAGGTACGGTTTTTTAAAACTGTGAGTTAGTAGCAATATATCCTCAACATATGTAAGATTTAGCGATAACAATTATCGAGTCTAACTATTCTTAAGGAAATTTCAAATGTGATTTTTGACTGATCTAATGAACATCATACCGATTGAATGTTGGTGAATATGACTTAGTTTTTTTCCTATTTTACGGTGACATTTTATTGATTACCTTCCCATCATGAAGAATGTATCTGTTAAGTTGAAAAAGAATAGTGTAAACTGTGATAATCATCCGATAGTAGATAATAATATAATCTCATGCTATGCACTTTAAAATATTTAACAAAGAACCTTTATGATTATGTAGTGTATGCTACTTATGTCGACCGACATAAGCAGTGTGCAACACCAATCGGAAGTGGAAAACCTGGTGGCATAAAGCATGACCTGAAGAGAACAGCAACGGAATAAAAAAGAATTATGAATCGGAAGAATCGTACAGAATATAAAAGACAAATAATGAAAATTTGTCAATGAACTGTTTAATATATGGTTTTCATATTTTACCAAAACATTCTGTAATTTTATATTAGAATATAATTGCCCCCCCCAACTACATTCTCGTCCATAACAACTATACAAATTTATATATTAGAAATTATATTAATTCATGTATTGTTTTGACTTTTATATACTTTATTCAAAAAATCAATAATCTTCTAATACGATGTAAATGATGCATTATGAATAACATATAATGTATGTTATAAACAATAATCACATGGAAATTGTTCATTATTAATACAACTAAATATCGAAAAAATGTATTTTTTTGGTTACTACTATAATGATTATAACAGATTCTTAAAGTGCATTTATTACGTAATAAGATTTTTTTAAATTTTTTTTAGAAAAAATAATTATTACTAACTATTATTTTATTAATTACATGTTAAAGATGAATGGGAACTAAATCTAATTAATGGGTACCTTTTTTTTAGCTAGACACATTTATAAGAAAACTATTTGATAGATTGATTTTTCCATAGTATTCTGGACATTATATATATATAATATTATAGAATATATGGTGAAAAAGCAAATGAAGCTTGTTTTAGTAAATAAAGTTAATGGACAAAAAAAAACAGTCCCAATTTATTCGCCTAATATATATCATTATGATGGGAATATATGCATATATGAATTTATGTAACTAGTTTAATGTTCAACAATGTCATTGATATCACGTTAAAAAGTTAACCTAGTTTTAATTTAACTCAAATTGATGATTACGGAAACAAAATGTCAGTGTCACTGAGAAACAATCAAACTCGTGATCTTTTGATCGGGCAGTAAGTAGACATAATTCATAGTACAGTTTACAGAAAACGAGATCATTTGATGATCTATATTTTCAACAAAACAATATCTAATTGAACTAATGTTCTCTATAAACCATTCAACTAAATACAATACTTCATTTTTCATCAGTATAATAATTGCTGTTAGTGATATCAGATACTTGGAAATAATCAACAGGAAAACTTGAACCTATATTTCGTGATATTCAGTACTGGTCAGAAAGGTGGGCCTATAAGTTGTAGGGAACCAATGCTCCTTGGTCGATTCGATCCCAAATTACACAGATACACAGTCTGAGACGTTACGACTAAGTTATTCGAACTGTGACTGATCTTCCGTGGGATTGAGATACAATTGGTTGACCACTGAATAGTGGCCAAGTTTACATTTATTTATACCTTTAGTGCATGGTTACTTTTAAAAATCTATGATGAGAATCTATTTACAGAGATAATGAAAGTTTAATGATTAGACGATTTAATTAAAAAAACATAACATTAAACAGTATTATAAGCAAAGATGGATGGTGGCTAGCGGTAGAATCCAGGACTCGCGTTTCGTCTTATTTGCGACTCGTTAGCTGGATGTACCTGCATCCCAAAGTCCTGAATTCCACTGCTAGCCACCAACCATCTTTGCTTATAATGCTACTGACTTAAGGGAATATCGAGGCAATACGCACAGTATGCACATACGCTAATAAGAGAATGATCAATCGCAGTCCAAAACATCAATGGGAATATTTAAGCACTAAGTGCATTAACCATTATTGTTTTCTGATCAGGTAGTTCTTTTACAGGATTAATACTAATTGTTAGAGGCGTTTTCGATCGGTGAGATAATCTAATCTGATGATGCTAAGACTTTCCTAATTCCAACTCTACTTCAGCTAGCAAGGCATGTTGATGTAAATAATGACAAGGTATATAAAATGTTTCTGACTAAAAACCAATGAAAATAGATTGATCGCTGAGTAAACCCTGCTACTTCAAACTACATACCAAGTCTAAACTTTGGTTACTTGATTATTTATCAACTGCAGAACGATAACTTGGAAAAATCGGTGACCTGACAGCTTTTTCTATCTTAATGTAATCGATTTTTTCGGTGTTAGGATTATTGAGATTAGCGTGACTTAACGAGATGAATAAACGAAACAATTATTTAAAGATCAAAATCTACAGAATATTGGATATATATTGGGCAAGTGAATGAGTTATTCAGATCTTGTTGGCTCAGATGCGTTTTCATTGAATTTCAAATATATTACTAACTCTACGCCTGTTTGCTCTCACTCTATCGGTTTCTCCTTTATTCTTATGGTTGCAAATTTTGAAAATGTAAACCAGTATACCTTTATATAAGGTTTCACGGTGTCCTGTCTGTCTGTTTATCTATGTAACAATGCATTAAAAGTGGACAAAGGTAGAGTAATGGCTTAGCAAGTTAAGGACTTAGCTTTCAACCAATATTTTGATTTCTGTTCTAGCTGTCACTAACCATAGCACCATATGTTCACTACATACATCTATACTCAAAAGATGAGCCACACTATTAATTATTATACAAGGAATGTAATATGTAAAGTATGAAAACTACAAATCATCTAGACTGGAATTTTTCGAAATCTTACCTGTTGTATTTGTTCTAGCGTAATCCCTGCAGCAATAGAAACCAAAAGTTTATCATTTAAACGATCGGATAGACTTTTCAGAGCTGGTAGTAATATGTGTGGTTTAACGCAGGCGAACACGACATCACTTTTTTCAACCATTGGTTCATTTGTTTGTATATATTCCACTCCATATTTCTACTCGAAAAAGATGAGACAATTCAATATCATAAGTAAACTGTTATCTAGTAAGATTAGTTTCGCCATCATCACGAAAGTTATCAACTGTCTACTGAATACATTAGGCTGGCACAAATCAGCCCCAAATGCAACAGACAATAGCTAGGATGAGTTACACATAAAAGTTGTCCACATCGAATATTTCATTTGAATGAAAAGCGGGACATACGTTCTAAGACTGAAGAGGGATATATACGGAAAATCCAGAAGAATTAAATGTTGTCTCCAAGTAGCTTAGTAAATCAAATGCAAGTGTGGGTAAGTTACGATCGGTGAATTATTCATATGACCAACCACATTTCCCTGTTCCAGTCACGCTGGTTACCTAAAAATAGTGACGATTTGTATGTACTTATATATCAACTTTTGATAATACGGTTTCCTACAGTCTTGTTTTTTCCCTTTGTCTAGTTGGATTAGTCAACAGTTAGGAATGTGACTAACGGATAAATGGAAAATAAATCATACATCACAAAATAAACTAGTTTTTTAAAAGTCAGCTGTTCATTTTCTATATAAACAACTTAACCTCGAAATAACATTACATTGTTGTTTTTTTCATATTTATTAAAAAAGAAACTAACAGAGAGACTGAAATGGAATATATCAAACTGCTTAACTTTTTATAGAACTGAAATCTACCTAGTATGTTATTTTGAATAACGAATTTGTTGACTTATAATTTACGATCTATGTACATATAAGCATTGCGTAGTGAACCATTCATGAATCAAAAACTTCCCTCAAATAACATCAAATGATGTTATACCAAAGAAACATTTAATAAAGTGATTCGAAAGGAAACAGATTATCCAATTATCAGACACCAACGTAATAAATATACATGTTTTGTAAATAGGTATATCTTTTATACACAATGATCATGTAACTATAAAATCCAACTATATATTCTGTATTGTTGTGAAAAAATAGATTTCCAACAGTCAGATATCTTCAGTGTACTTTAAGAACGATAAGTATTCAATCATGTGTTAGTTGTTTATAGCCGATACTTAAAAATATCTTAACGCGTACTGTAACCTTTGACAAAGATAACGGTTTACAACCTCAACAATACCTACACCATGATTGAAATCACCTGTAATCAAAAATGTTCACCAACATATTGATAAGCTGAACACAATACATCCTTAAAAGACAAAGGTTTCGACCTTAATGAAGACTAATTTCTCTTGCAACGTTGATATTTTTTTACAAAAAAGTGTAAGAACCTTCACCCGCGTTCTCGCAAGAATTAATTTAATACACTGTGCAACAAGGTATTATGTAATTTAGCTCATTCCGAAAATACGTCAATCTACCAAAAAAAGGATTAACGATCATTATATGTTCAAAAATTTACATACTATATTTTTAAATACAAAAAAACATTATAATAGTGGTTTTTCTTTCAAGAAAAACAAATGAGAGCAAAGCTATTAAAAAGCTGATGATCAAATACCCCATAAAAATAAGACAATAACCACATGCTAATTAAAGATTAATAATCAAAGATCTGTTCATTCATATATTTAATAATACGGCAATAAACAAAGAACTGAGATTCAATTTACTTGTGTTATTGAAAAAACGAAGGCAGAAAACTTTGTTTAATTTGATCAATACAATAAGTTATGTATGCTTTTTTTAAAATATCAGATTACAAAAGAAACAACGAAATCACCAGAAATCAATTGTTTGATAGAATGCGAAAAACAACTCTGATAGGAGAAAATGATTTTGTGATAATGTAATTGTTGTCGATGCGTAATCATTTCAGTTCTGATTGGATTAGCTATAGATGTTACAGTTTCTTATCGAAACTCATGCAAATGAACCTTGAAGGTAATAAACAGTATAAAGTGAACATACAATTCTACTTGGTAATAAAATGTATCAGAATGAAGATTGAAGAAATGATCACTCCTCAAACTATTTTATGGATTACTATTATTTACATTTTTATTGTATAATCACTAAACGACTGAATTACTATGTTTATATATTCAGTTTGTCATAAGCTCTTGTTTAACCCATTAACTATACTATTTCTTATTCTTAATTTATTACCAATGAATTGTTTACAGCGCAACATATTCAAAGCGACTTCTGGCTTATTTATGATTCATTGTGACTTTTCAAGATATGGTGTGATGTGGTCCAGTATATTTGCATATAAACCTACGTGTGCTTGGAAATATAATTTATTAGAAGCAGGATGCTGAGCACTCTTCAAACTCAAGATAAACGATATGGAAAAGCTTGCAGATAGCCACCAATAAAAGCTTAGTTTGAATGGGTTTTAAAATTAACTATGCAGGTTAGGACATATAATTAGTCGTCTAAGGGGTCAGCTTATGAACGGAGTGGTAGACGCGAAATAGGAAATATTAAATTAAAATTCCAATTGGTGAATTAAACACGTAATACCAACCGGCGTTCCAAGTTATGACATAAAATATTCCCTCCTTTTTAATTTTAGCATCATGACAACATGGAAGAGACAGATATGTCTGATTCTACTTATGAAGACGGTGACCATAATGTTGCTTGGTAAGCATGAGAGGGAAGGACGTTTATTCTTAAGAGGTAACCACCCAGTCGTATTGGTAGATGATCAATTGTAAATGTTATGACAACTTTAACACTTGAACTAAAAAATTTAAGTCACAGATCAGATTGCCTTTGGACGAAAACAGCTAACGTTAGTCGTAAAATCCTTAACTCTCTCATTTTTGATAATCGTTTTACTAAACATTATTTTAAAACTTTTAGTGCAATGAAATTAATTTTTCTTCTGACAGAATGTGCCTGAATGTGAATAACGAGTAAATTATTTCAAATTACACGACTTGGCAACACCACATATTAGTGGAAGCCAGCCATCATTCTATAAGCGATAAATAACAACCTAAAAACGAAGTAGATTAGCTCAGAGTCTTGACAGTTATCTCAAACCATGAAACCTATACCTAACACATGATACGAGTAAAAGGAGTACGGTGGTGTTAGATATAGATGTTTACGATACAACTCACATTTCAACACCAATTACCAATACCATTTACAACTGTTTCAATAAAGTAACAATATTTCCGTGAGTAAAAGGTTTAAGCGCTGAGATCCATGTCAAGAACAATCGACCACCTTAAAAACCAGTAGTTAGATCCTTAAAACAATGTGAATTTTAGCGTTAGCGCATAAAAGTTTTGATTATTGGTAAAATAGCAAACAATTACATTATTCTACTAAAATGAAATCAGTAGTCTGCAAATTTTTAGTAAAAACACTGGGATATAATCACACCACACCATTTCTAACTTACAGAACACAGAGCTTTCAGCGGTATTAGAAACTAAACAAATATGCATAGAAAACAAATATAAGAAATCAAAACAAACTAAGAGAGTATTGAACTCAAATATTAAGCTGTTATTATGAGCAATCAAGGTTAACTACGCATGGCAATAAATAAAAAGGATTAGAAATATTGATGTAAAGCCAATCATCTCCAGACAGGTGTCTTTACATCCGTTCATCGGTAATCAAGCAATTAATGCTTGCTTTGCAAAGAAAGTGACAATGTTAATAGTTAGGTCTAAAGAAAACTAAAAAACAAATCACTTCGATTGAACACAGAGTCATTAATTAATACGGTTAGTATTTCTACTTACTTTAACAACAGTACACAAGCATTTACCATTTTTGGAAGAAATTATCATATGCTTGCTTTCTATAAGTCAACCTATTTCCCTAAACAGAATAAAAATAATTATTTAATCAATTTGTGGCGTATTCAGAGAATACAGAGAGGAAATCCCTTTAACTTTTTTTCGATTTACGCCTTACATAATACTCAGATTAAAGTTTGATATCAACAGGATCGATCATAGGAAGTAGGATGTTTCCTAGTCAACTCTATCAAGATTCTCTCAGATAAAGATATATTGCAGTGTGAACCGTTTGCGTTCTTTTCTCGTCATTTATGACAACAATTAAACAGTGAACTAAAGATATAATGAATTCTTCTAGATCACAGAACATAAACCAATATTATACCATATTTTGGATCTAACCACTAAATACATTTTTTAAAATATTGTTAACAAAATACCTGTAATACAATTAATAACAAATTGAAATGATGAAGACCAACGTACAATATACTCATACTAATTCACACTATAAATCTGTGAACAGGTAACAGGTGACATTAAGGACATGAATCAGTAGAATAATGTGTGATTTTTAGTAACTGTAAGTCCTCAAATGTTTATGTGGTAAATAACTTCAAATTGTGTTTGCTCGTTACCTATATTTTATAAGAAAAAACTAGCAATTGTTTCGCTTTTTCTATAGGATTGATTCTTTTATGGTTTTAAGTAGACAAAGATCTTTCTAATGGTTACTAATGTATTTCAACATCTCAGCTGAATTCCTAGTTGTCACAGTATTTCACTAAAGAGGATTTGCAGTGATTCTTACTTTTTGACTGACATTTTCAGCATCAATTAAGAAGGTAATGAACATTACTAATAACCAATCGATAAAATCTAGTAAACAAGTATAGGACTGTCTACTCGTTTTCGGTCCACACTTTATGGCTGAGCATTAACGTTTCGATTTGGTTGCTTGAACTAAACTAGGTAAAAACAGATTACAACTTGTTATTTAGTAATGGAAAGTCGAATGTTATGATTAATGAGTCTGTGCTTAACACATTTATCTTTATGCGAGTGAGCATAAAAAATGAAGAGTTATTCACGGTAAGATGGACAGATCAAGCTGAGGAGAAATATCAAGAAGGGCCCTGTGTTCTCTTGACTTGTGAAACCAAAACTCAAGAAGCAAATAAATAAATCGAATGCTAGAAAAAGACGTCATTGACTGTTTCATCAAAATATTGAGGACTCAAACGATTATTGTTTTGAGAATTTATGTTGTACATTGTTATGTTTATCACATTTTCGATACTTTTAGGTTTCCCTTAATAGATTCCCTATAGTTGTATTGACAGAAAATTTCGATGAGACTATAACTTATAGACGACATTTGAGTGACGCTACAGTGACCTTGAGAATGTCTACCTACTTACTAAAAGTAAGTGAGGGTTGTAAATTAGTTTAAAGAATAAGGATCATAATTCACAGTTGATAGTTAGGAATTAGATTTATGATTTTTCATCACGAACTCACATTAGCTAAAGTGTCGAAACGTTATTTAGACAAATGGGTGGATGAGTTTCGCGCCAAAATCCAAGACTTGTTATTCTAAATCTGATTAGTTCGTTCATAAATTATAGCCTCGCCAAAATCTCCGCTGATTTTCTACTTCATGAAGTCATATCACTAAATATTTACAATTGATTGATCACTGGATAGTGACCAATGTCATGTATGTCAAGTCCTTCTTAGTGCAAATCGAATTCTACTGACCAGACTGCTATGTAATCATTGGGATTGAGTCCGCCAGGGAGCATCAAACCCCTCAAGATTACAGGTACACCTTGCTAAAAACAAGTGCCGAATAGCACGAAACCTAGGTCCAGGGTTTGCTATAGACTACCTCTAACCACTACCCTACATATAACTACGTGTTATACTTAACTATTGTGTGAACAGAACAAACAGCATTTCTCATTTTAGTTGGTACAGAAAAAGGTCACTAGGAAGGTAAGTTGGAAACTGCTTGTTCGGGATCCTACCAGATTTGACAATATATTACTACCTGAAGGCGTTCATCGTTACAATTCAACCTATTAACCAAAAGTATTAAAAATAGAACTAATGTTTGTAAGTATCTTCACTGTAAATAGTTCTTGAATAAAACATCCAAATATGTACACACTGAGTTAACAAGTATTAAAAAGGGATGTAAAATAACTATCTGAAATGCACTATTAGTTAGTCTCGCGAAAAATAATACAAATTAAAACAAAGCATATTATTAAACCACATAAATAATAAGTTTAATAGTTTGTTTTGTTGAACTGAAACAATTTTATTAATGGAAATAAGCTATAAAATAAATTGATCTACATCAAAAACACAAGTTATCTACACTTTATGGATAAATTAATCTAACAAAATGTTATATTTAAAATATACAAGAATGATATTGTATACCTCTGCATCTGGAAACGATAAACCATACCGATCAGTCATTGTAACTTGAGAACCAGTGATTACATCTGGAATTTCAGAAAAAAAGAACATTGCGAAAAATTATTGTACACAAACTTATAACAGAATACAAAGACTCGAAAATGTAACAAGTTTGTTAGTAAAAATCTGACGATGACTAGTAATAGAATCACTTTACAAAACACAAGTAGAAAAACCCTCTTAATCCAACATATCAGCCATCACTTTGTTTAATAAGATGTTACATATTCCGCTTGTAAATTATGTGATCAGTGTAATTGAATACAAATATATGAAGAAATAGACACTTCGTACAAATTTACTGAGGAAAAATGTGACTAATATTATTTCGGAATTGATGAAATGACCTTTTATTCGTCATTTCTTTGTACTGTTAATTTTTCATGAGAAAACATTTTTAACCACAATTAATTAAAGTAACTTAGCAACTAAGTGAAAGTTCGTGTGCTCAGTGTTCGATCATATTTTGTGTGAGAACTAATGATTCTATCTAGTTACCTAAACGAGGGTGGAGTAGGGTCTAATCCATAACTTAATAGTTGGTAGCCGATTGATTTTGCAGTCAAACCACCAATCTACTTTAAGTCATAAAACGATTATACTCACAAGCAGTTGATGGGGTTCAAGTTTAAGGTTTGTTGGTGGTATTCAGCTTTTTCGTTTGTTTTAGTGTACCATTTTGCCACCTTATTTTTAAAAACACTGTAAATTTCATTATACACAAATAACTGTACATCTGATCAATATTCTTCGGTCAATCTAATAAATAATTCTACTCAACATATAACTTCTCCAGCTGGAATGCCGAGGGCTAAGTGAGAAAATAAGGAAGATATCTCCCATTTATGAAAAATCATCACAACGTAGATCCTGGTATGTACGTACATCAGTTCGAGTTGCCATACCCCATTAGCACAGAGAAATGAAATCGTCAGATCAAATCTCAGAATAGTAGAGGCATCGAAGATATGACTCGAGAAAATATAAATTAGTGAAATGAAAATAAATAAAGGTTACGAGGAATTTAGAATCTCAGAGTTTGGAAAAAGACAAAGGAAAAATTCACCTGCTCTATTGCAAACGATTTTGAGCCATGTCATTCAAAGTATATGACCACTGATTACGACAATCACACCGATCCCAATCAGGTAGTCTACATCTATTACCATGGCTAAGTCCAATTGTCACTGACGTCATGGATTGATGACATATTTTGGTTTGGCCACCCCTAGCTTCCTTCCAACTAACTCCTACGCCACAAAAAGTCGCCAGTCAAGTTAGGCGGTGGTTGGAAATACGTAAGACATGTCCCAAACACCTCAGTTGATGAAGATTTGCTACCTCTTCAATCGATTTGCCATCCTTAACTTGGACTTTATTCCTAACCCAGGCACTGTTTACTCCGTGGTCCCAAAGTACACGGACGATGCTCCAAAGACACCTATAACTGGATAACAGTGACCTATGAATATTCTCTTCTGAATGGCCATGTTCCACATTCATAAAGTAGAACGGAGAGAACTTCTGCACAGCAAACGCATCTATTGGTTGGCAGGCGGATATGTTGTCTACACCACAAGTGACTCGATTCAACAAAAGCCAGTCGAGCCTTCTGAATCTATGTTGAAATTTCGTCAAACACCAGACCATCATCACTGACAAGACTCCCAAGATAAGTGGAAGAGTCGATGCGTCCAACTACCTCACCTCTTATCAACAGCTCATCTGATGATGCAACCCAATCCTGAAGTTACATTTTACATTTAAAGGGAAAGAACCACACCCCAAATATGCTTCCATTGTTGCTTATGGTAATAATAAAACTCTGCACTTAATCACCGTCTTCACCAAACTAAACCACTCCATATGACCTGATTATTTTGACAATCAGGCCATTTAAAGTAAATATTTTTTAAACATACACACTTTGATCTTCGAACAAAAACAAAATACATAAAGTGCAAGAAGATAACCAGACAATATGAAATAGAGCATTCATAACTACTGGGAACAAACTAACACTTCAAAGTCAAGAAAACAGGTAGTTTCGAAACAGACTCGGCAATAACTCTAAAGGTTAGTAATCTTATCCTATTATGAAAGCAAAAGAAACTATATCAAACAACCGAACAAAACAGAAAATACAGAGCTTACAGAACTACGTTAAATTATTGATATGTAAAAAAGAACATAATAAAAGTAAGTAAAAAAACGTACTTGAGGCTAGAAAACCTTTGACCAATGCTTGAGACATATTACCGGATCCCATAAAACCGTAATGTTTGGAAGCCAGGATAATTTTTATATCAGCAGACATTGCTTTATGATTACCCCAAAAACAAAATATGAAAAAACTTTAAATAATTAAAAAATAATCGAAAATATAAAGCATAATATGTTGACATATATACTTTTAAAAGTTCTTCCACTATACGAAAGGACGAGTAACATGTAAAACTTGCCATAACGTTTAGTATGAATAATATTTTTGAAGAAATTAGAGTTTTTAACAATACAACAATTAAGCAACATCATGTGGATGAATGAATAGTCAAGCTATTCTGAAAACTGATTAACTACTAATAATCGCTAGTTTAATCAATTTAGCGTATATCACCAAAGTGTGTGCATTCATCAAAAAATGATTTATTTAATTATGTTTATCATATACATATATACGGATCAATAAATAAATCATGTTTTGCACGAATATGTATGGATATAAAGAAATCACTGTCCAAGGTCAATTGTATTTGGAATCAATGACATTTTTTTATTAATGATACAATTAAATCATTGTATACATGCACATTGTTAAGTCACTACAAATAATGATATATAGAAATGGAATATTATTGATCGGCATAGTTGTTTTTAGACTGACTGACTGTCTAACAAATCTATGGTGTTGAAGAGTTTTAAGCACATTCTGCTAAATGGATGTTCATAAACAGAAGTTTGCTTCTAAAAATTCTAATCCTGGTTGAGTACTTTAACCTAATGATGAAATGTTTATAGTCAGTTGTGATAAAATCAAGTCAATATTATTCCCGTTTCGTGATACAATCCTTCCAGTACAATTTTTTCCAATAAAGCTTAATGTTCTGAACATATGTGAAGAATAGAAAGTTCTTTTAGAAATGTTATCCACAATGATTACGATCACTGTGAACCGCAAAGATTTTACTCAAAGTACATATCGCTCAAATTGTTTCATAAATAATTACCTATCCGTAAAGGTAAAAAAAAACGTGATTCAATAAACATTTCAGGTCCATAGAGTACGAATTTCGGTAAGTTTTAAAGCGGTTATCATGATACATAGATAATGGCTAAAACGTCATTTTAAATCTAGAGATACTACTATCCTTTCCCACAATACCGACCAACCCAATAAGGACTATTGAAGTACCTTTAAATTTACTTTGGGAGCAACAAACTCCAAAACGTACACATTAATTTTAAAACTTCCGATTTTATTCCTAATGGTTGAAACAATGTCGATGTTTTATCTTAACCTTTAACTTTATTGTCCCACCAGATCATTTGTAGATGTTAGTAAACTGAATGAGTTCGTAAATAATGAAAACAAAAGATATAGAACAAAAGAGTAATTTATGAAGTCAAACAGTGGACTGTCTTTGTTAACAGGAAAGCAAAACGATTTCAGTTGAAATATTTCCCATTTAGGATCTCAACTGTGAAATGAGAAACATTTCTTAATAGAGACACACAGAAAATGACTTCATGCACCTTGTTAATGTAGATTTCCAGTTAGTACCCTTAAAAGATATATTTGCGATCACGTCAAATTTAGATAATGTCCTGAAAGCATCCTAAAGACAGGATCAGTCCACAGAAACTGAATGGATGATAGTTTCAAAACCTTAAACACGGAAGACCTGGATGCTCTTCATTCACGAATAATATCAAGACTACCAGACATAATCATTTGGTTGTTGGGGATAATATTTTATGTGCCAGTGAATCGATCCAAACATTTGAGAGTGGAAGGATGCAATCACCCTTTAGTCTACGATACTGTGTGTAAATATATGATGAATATTGATCCTGTGAGTTATAACAGTGCTACTTTTGAGTTAGTACAGGCCATCCGCGTTGTTACTCAATGTAAAGTGAAATGGTGCAACCTCTTGGTCAAGCTTTATCATGGTCCAATTCTCCTCTGGTTGAATGACCCGACTCTTAGTCTTTGAGGGAGTAGTGAAACACACTGATCATAAATTAAAGACCAGTTAATCACATCATTTGTTCCAAAGTAATTCAAGTCTTATAGTTTTGGAAGACTACTAGCGACCATAACATGTTATTGTTTCACTTCCAAGAGACGGGACCCCAGAAATTAGTTAATTTCCAAATATCCTATAACCGCCTTGCAGTACGGTAACTAGAGTGATCATATTCTACTCATACCTTCTCTGTAGAAAACCTTGTAAGTTTCGGTCACTATTTTACAGTGACATATGACTTTATGTTTGTGCTTTGGAAACAGTACGGCTACTCCGCTATTATGTGACTATATTTTTTGCTTGGAAGTATCCGCCTGATGGAACTCATATACCAAGATCAAATGCTTGAAGGTACAAGGTTTGTTTCCCACAACAACATAGTCCTCCAACGGAATTTTTAATGAAAACCAATCCCCACTGTTAACGTTTTCAGTCTAAACATTTGTTTCCACGGCGATTCAAAAGTATAGTAGAGGTCAGTCGACTTTCTATATTTTTTGCTTGGTAAGAGAAGCTAAGTAGAATTGCTCGGAATCAGTTACAGTGATCTAGTTGCGTCAATCCCTTGCTTTCCGTCAGCTTTAAAATTCAATACAATTCCTAACTTCCCATTCATCAGTCTTGCTTGTTCGTTCTGAACCGTAGTCCCTAACCCTAGATTTCCATGAAAGTTTAAACTAACTTCTTTTGTTTTTGATATTGATTTCCTACTCCCTCTTTTACTACGAGGTGTGAGGACTTGGATGCTCATCCTTGCTAGGTTTTCGGCTGGTAAAGATCGACTGAATGTCACGTGTTGGTTGTGTTACGTTTTGGTAATGTGTAAGTAGCATTATGGGTCTCCGAAATTAGATTGGAATATTACAAAAACTACGGAAAAATTGTGTAAACCACAGGTATGAAGCTATTTAATCTCAGATCAATTTTGCACTGTTGCACTACGTTCCCAACGGCTTTGTATAAAATTTGGATTTCCAGTCAGTTGCACCATATCGATTAGTTAAGCTGACCCGTTCGCAACCCAAAAGACAATTATATACTAAATAAACCCCGATCTATATTGTATTTATGAATTTGATCAGTAGTTGACCATTTGGTCAAATGATTAACCTATAGTACAGAAAACAGCAGAAATAAGTGAAAACCCAAGGCGATTATCCAGAATTAATTATTTAAGATCTTGGATTGACAGGAAATAGATTAACGGAGATGAAAAGGATATACTATGGCAAGATATTTGGGATATACTGACTTTTAGTCCCCGTCAACATCTCGAGAAACAACCTCGCACAATGCAATATTAAAGGTGGGGAAAATAACTCTTAGTCGATGTCGTTGAGCTTTACGGACATTTTACGAAAACTACAAGAAGCTTTAGGCACTTTATGGGCAAGCTTTCTCACAACTTCAAAAACATTTTATTCACGCTTCAAATCTTGCTGTTCCGACTCAATGCAATCGGCCAAACAATAGGCGAACGTGAAAATACCTATGCAATACACTATTTCGGTATCTTCACCCACCCAGCTCAAAACAGTACCGCAAGCCGATTGTAGGTCATTTGCACGATTGACCTTCAGGCTTTCAGATTCGTGTATAAGGACAGAAGGTCTACACCCCATGCAAGTCTTTTCCTAGTACGTTTATGTGAGTGTCTAGTCCTCTCTTTAAAAATGCAATTAAAGGTGGGACCGCCACTGCTTCCTGCAACAGGTTCCAAGAATTGCTGACTCTGAGTGAGAACCTGTATGCCATGGGTATTTTGTTCGCTCTTGGCTTTTCCACTCTACTACTATGTCCTCTGAGTTGTTCCAATCTTGTAAGAAGAAAAATAGAAGATATATTTGGTTCAAAATCATTTCTTATCATACCATGCATCTGTAGAGTCAATGAAATGCCATTGGACCCTAGCCAAATCATTCGACAGTCAGGTCACTGAATATCGAAAAATTCACGAATCCTAGTCGAGTTCAAGGACAACCAGCGCACTCTACTGACTGGATCATGCGGCTTTCATAGCAATCTCTTAATTGTACCTACTCTTACTAATATATTTCTACAATAACGTCCTTAGTGTTGAAGATGTCACAGGTATTCGGAGTTTAACAACGCTTTAAAAGTAACGACTTCTAATACGAATCGTACCCACCAAGTGAAATCAAAGTCAGAAGCGAGGAGGTTCGAAGATATACTTGGTAGGCTATCAATATATCGAGGATCGTCTGCTCTAATCTAGTTAACGATTGCAAGGGTTGTTGAGCACGGCGTTCACACTCGTGATCTGGTGGCGATGCATGACCGAGAACCATTAGCTAGGTGAGTCTATTTAAACTAATGCGGCCAGTATCCAATGTCGAAAACTTACAGAGCTATTTATTTTGGGGAATTGTTTACAGCTACAGCACAATACGGTTTTCAGAGCAGCCACAGTACCTTGGTACGACGAAAGGGTAATCCAAGTTAGATACTGACTACGAAGTGTGACTTCAAAGGTAGCTGGTTAGTCACACCATCCTCGTCCATCTCCGGTAGGCCCTCAATCATTCAACTCAGGTCATTTGTGTTAGTGGGCTATGCATAAAAATCAGATCACCTCTTAATCTGTTCTAGGACAGAGTAAAGAGATGTAGCTTTTCAGACTACTCTTTGTATAGTAAACCCCAGTGCTTTTGTATTTCATCGGTAGGTGCACTCTGTATTTTTTCCGGGCTATTTGAGTCACCTTGTAAACAAAGGCTGGTGGCCTAAACAGAACTTACAAGTTTATATCTCAATTAGCTTGTGTATACTGTGGTGAATATATTAGTATCTAACATCGTGAATGTCCGCCTTAAAGCCCATAGGGTTGTAGTGTGGCGTCTAGTCGCGATTGACTATGATCACCACTACAGGAAGACTACGTGCCAGTTAACCGATAAGATCCCTCGTAGGCCAAATGTCAGAAGGCTGTAGTCGAGTTGTGTTTGTTGGCGATCTCGTGTTATAGAAAGAATATCGAGACTGTGCCAAGGGAGTCCAAGTGTGGCTACTGAGCGTAATCAAACTCGTGCAAGGTCACAAGAAACGGAAAGTGTTTGTTCCTAGTGCATTTAAACAAGCAAGTACAGTAAAACAATCCCTGGTACAATTGGTTATAATAGTAATTATTTTCATTACACCAGTCGCGTTATGTTGATAAAAGTAGGTCACCACAGCGTTCTAATCTCCTTAACTGAAACCTCAGTTCAGTGAGTCGTGGTCTCAAGATCATGGCTCACAGTCACTCCAAGACCCTTGTGAGAGTGGACAACGAATACAGACACTTCCCTATTCTGTACCTATTTAACTTTTGTATCCCCTAAATGCATATAGATACACTTGGCCGCATTTATAAACATCAGCCATTTTTTAAAACCAGCTAAACAGAACGACTAAGTCCGCCTGAAATGCACATACAGCTGAGTCTCCTGTTATTTACCGCCAGATATTTACATTATGTTAGTGATGAGTCTCAGTTGACAGGTTAA